CGGAGCGCGGGGGGAGAGTGCTCTCGTGCCGGAGCAGCGCGTGCGGCTCTCGAATCAAGGCTAGAGTTTGGAGGCTCCACCAATTCAGCCCTGATTTCGCGCCAAATGCCAATCATTCCGCTTGTGCAAGCAGCCACCATTGACGTGGCAGCTTGGGAGTTGGACGACCGATTCGGCATTTTCCCTGAGGGGAAGCGCGCCAAGGAGGCGAGGTTTGCTCCAGCGCGAGGATGCGATCCGGTGGTCCGACCCGAACGTCGATACCTGTTCAAGCGGTCACGGATGGCATACCCCGATCAGTTCTGGTCCGAGGTCATTGCCTACCGCATCGGTTGCGAGATGGGATTGAGCGTGCCGCCGGCGTTTGCCGCTTGGAACTCCGAAACGGGCATATGTGGTGCACTGATCGAATGGTTCTTCACTGACGGCCATGAGGCATCTCACCTGGGGGGTGTCTTTTTGCAGAAGCTGCGCCCGAACTACGATCGCGCACGAGGAAGTGACCACAACATCCAGGAAAACGCGGTGTTGATGCGCTTGCTGCGCTTTGGCGCCGGCCTCACTACGGATTGGAGACGATGGTGGGCTGGGGCGATCCTCTTCGATGCCCTCATTGGGAACACGGATCGGCACCAGGACAACTGGTCAATCGTCTATTCCCTGGCGAACGGCAGAGAGACCGGATGCCGGTTGAGTCCGTACTTCGACAACGGCACGAGCCTTGGCAGTGAGCTGGACCTCGCTCGCGTCAGGCAATGGACGGATGAGCAGCTTGATCGATACATATCGCGGGGGACGCACCATGTTCGCTGGCGTGATGCCGGAGAGGATGGCACCCTGGTGAAGTGTTCTCACGTTGACCTAGTGCGGCGTGTGGTGCAGCTTTGGCCGCAGGTTCGTGGCGAAATGGCCGAAATCCTTGATTCGCTGACACCTGAGCGACTGGATCGAGCATTGAGGGATCTCACTTTGATGGTCCTGCCAGTACCATTAAGCCCGGACCGGCTGGATTTCGTTCTCCGACTGCTGGCACGCCGCTTGCCGCTCTTAAGAGCAGCTTGCGCGCCGCTATGAACACACTCAAGTACATCGTAGAACCCACCGCACTTTGGCTCACTTGGCAGCCGGTGGACTTGTCTGCGCCAGATCGCCGCCGCCGCACGGTTGGCATCGTGCACCTGCCTTCTGATGGCGTCGGGGAGTTCCATTACTTGCGGGGTACGGAAGATTTTGAGGCTGCCAAGGACGGTGGCTTTCTCGGCTTTCCAGCGTTCGATTTGCGCGGCGATCAATCGTTCCACGTTGGAGTGTTGGAGTCGTTTCTTCAACGACTACCGCCCCGAAAGCGTGAGGACTTCAGCGAATATTTGAGCCGGCACCGCCTCCCGTTTCCTTTCCCTGGGTCTAGTCTTGCGCTGCTGGGGTACACCGGGGCAGCGTTGCCTAGCGATGGCTTCGAGTTGGTGCCAGTTTTCCCTGACAACCACGAGCCAATAGACCTGATTACGGAAATTGCTGGCGTCAGGCATGTGTGCACGCAGGACGTCAGTCGCATCCCTCTCGGTGATGATGTCCAGTTTGATGGCGACGCCGGCAATGAGTTTGATGAAGATGCGGTCATCGTCAGCTGGCGTGGCCATCCGGTCGGTTACGTCAACCGTGCGCTGCGGAAACAGTTCCAACGATGGATTCGTGGTCGACAGGTTCACGGGGTTGTTGAACGACTGAACGGCACAACGGAACGACCCCGAGTGTTCGTGCGCGTTGAAGTGCGCTAGCCCGGCGCATTGAATTTGCGGTTTGGGCTTTTCGCCGGATGGATCCCCAGGTCACGAAAGTCCCCCACCAAACTCTTACGGGGGAACAGATGGGGGAACGGCACAGCGCCCGCGCCCTGCGGCCCCAATGTCTACGTGGGGTTCGGCTCATTGTTCAAGTCCCGTCCCGGCACCACGCGAAAAAAGCCGCGTCGACGGCGAACGCAAGGGAGCTGCATGTCCGCCATTTATCGCGCCGGCTTGATGTCAATGGCCTTCCTGGTCGCCGCCTGCGCCACGCCGCGCTGGGAGAACCTGAAGCATCCGACCTCTGATTTCCAGGCCGACACCGCTGCTTGCGAGCGCGATGTGGACCGGGCCCTGAAGCTGGAGCAGTTGGTTCGACCGAACGCCTTTGCCGGTGCGTGCATCGGATGTCCGGCGCAGGGGAGTCGGGAGATGCAGGACGCCGTCAGTGCCTACGGCATCCACAAGCGCTGCATGGCAGCACGCGGTTGGCGGCAGGCATCCTGAACGCGTGACGCCGCTGGATGCGGTGTGCGGTCAAACTCGAACGGACGGCCTTGCCAGGCCACTGCCACGATCGGGCCGCCAGGCGCGTACGGTCACGCCCTGCCAGCCCAGCACCTGAGTCATCCACGCCTTCAAGGCCGCGGGGTCGCCGCTGGTCTCGACGGCCAGTGCGGGCTCCTCGTCGGGTGCGGGCGTCCAGAGGCTTTCGGCGCGGCGCGCGACGGCCGTCTCGATGCGCAGCAGTTCCACCCCAGGCCCCAAGGCAGCCCGCCACAGCGGCTCGATGAACGGGTAGTGCGTGCATCCCAGCAGCGCCGTGTCGACGCCGGCCGCGCGAAGCGGCTCGCAGTGGCGGTCGACCAGCGC